AAATGTCGTAAATAAATAAATAAATCTCCATTTGGTTTATTTATTTATTTACTGTATTTATATACCGCCCCTCTCAGCCCTCAGGCAACTCGAGGCGGTTTACAAGACAAAATTCAATGCCACAACCAAGTACAATTTAAAAACATTAACATACATAAAATCATAATAACAGCAATAAAACATACGTCATTGGGAAATCTGTATTAAAACATTGTCCAGTCCCATCATATGGTTGCTCTATTATCTTATATGCACTACTCTGTATTTGCTAAAGCTTACTCGAAAAGCCATGTCTTGAGTTTTTTCGAAATGTTAAAAGGGAAGAAGCTATTCTGATATCCCTGTGGAGGGTGTGCCATAGCCGAGGGGCCACCAGTTTTTAATGCTTGCTTTAAGCACATCTTTAAATCTCTCTTCCCGACCATCAACATTCAGTTTTCCATTCTTCAGTTGGGAGTACTATATCCCATCTATCTCAGGCTTGATCTACATTATAGCATGAATGCAGGTTGACACCATGTTAACCAACATATTATTAGCCTATAAAGCCAAACTCCCATGATTCTATTGTTGTTCATTTGTTCAGTCGTTTCCGACTCTTCGTGACCTCATGGACCAGAGCTCCCTGTTGGCTGTCACCACCCCCAGCTCCTTCAAGGTCAAGCCAGTCACTTCAAGGATACCATCCATCTTGCCCTTGGTTGGCCCCTCTTCCTTTTTCCTTCCATTTTCCCCAGCATCATCGCCTTCTCCAAGCTTTCCTTTCTTCTCATGATGTGGCCAAAGTATTTCATCTTTGCCTCTACTATTCTTCCCTCCAGTGAGCAGTCGGGCTTTATTTCCTGAAGTATGGACTGGTTGGATCTTCTCACACTCCAAGGCACTCTCAGAACTTTCCTCCAACACCACAATTCAAAAGCATCTATCTTCCTTCGCTCAACCTTCCCTATGGTCCAGCTCTCACATCCGTAGGTTACTATGGGGAATACCATTGCTTTAACTATGAGGATCTTCATTGCCAGTGTGATGTCTCTACTCTTCAATATTTTATCGAGATTGGTCATTGCTCTCCTCCCAAGAAGTAAGTCGTCTTCTGATTTCCTGGCTGCAGTCTGCATCTGCAGTAATCTTTGCACCTAGAAATACAAAGTCTGTCACTGCCTCCACATTTTCTCCCTCTATTTTCCAGTTATCAATCAGTCTTGTTGCCATAATCTTGGTTTTTTTTATGTTTAGCTGCAACCCAGCTTTTGCGCTTTCTTCTTCCACCTTGATTAGAAGGCTCCTCAGCTCCTCCTCATTTTCGGCCATCATGGTGGTATCATCTGCATATCTAAGGTTTTTAATGTTTCTTCCAGCAATTTTCACCCCAGCCTTGCATTCGTCAAGCCCCACACATTGCATGATGTGTTCTGCATACAAGTTGAATTGGTCGGGCGAGAGTATACAACCCTGCCGCACACCTTGCCCAATCATGAACCAGTCTGTTGTTCCATGGTCAGTTTTTACTGTTGCTACTTGGTCCTTATACAAATTACTCAGGAGAGAGACAAGGTGATTTGGTATGCTCATACCACCAAGAACTTGCCACATGATTCCATACCATTGTATTATTCATGTGTCACACTGCATTTTTCTTTCTGTGCCAAATGTGACTTGAGAAACTACAAGTCGCTTCTGGTGTGAGAGAATTGGCTGTCTGCAAGGACATTGCCCTGGGGACGCCCGTATGTTTTACTATCCTTGTGGGAGGCTTCTCTCATATCCCTACATGGTGAACTGGAGCTGACAGAGCTCATCCACGCTCTCTCCGAATTCGAACCTCCAACCTGTCATTATTCAGTCCTGCTGACACAAGGGTTTAGCCCATTGCACCACCGGGGTCACACTGAATTGAACTGACAGTGGCCCCTTCCACACAGCTAAATAAAATCCCACATTATTTGCTTTGAACTGGGATATAAAGCTGTGTGGACTCTGATAACTCAACTCAAAACAGATATTGTTGGATTTTCTGCCTTGATATTCTGGGATATGGGGCTGTGTGCAAGGTCCTAGTGTTGGTGCACAGATATGAAAAGTCTGAACCTTGACAAAGTCTGCAGAAGGAAGAAAAACAGCAATCCGCTAACATCCCTTCTGGAAGTGCCAGGGGAAAATGGAAATCCCTGCAACACAGTCCCTGATCCCAAGTCTACCATGATTAATGGTATTAGGATTTGCTGAGAGATCTAGAAGAATTAACAGAGTCACACTCCCTATCTCTCTCTCAGAGCAGTTCTCCGACCAGGGAAATCAGCACAGTTATCTACCCCAAAACCAGCCCTATAACCAAAGATGGGAATTGGTCTAAATGAGGAGTAGAGAAACATTTAGGCTCCTTCTACACCGCTGTATAAAATCCAGATTATCTGCCCTCGACTGGATTATCTGGCTGTGTAGACTCATATAATCCAGTTCAAAGCAAATAATGTGATTACCTGCCTTGATATTTTTGTTTATTTATTTATTTATTTACCTTACTTATATACCGCTGTTCTCAGCCCGAAGGCGACTCACAGCGGTTCACAACAAATACGAACAGCAAAAATTCAGTGCTACAGTATAGAAACAGTTAACAACCTAACACATTACACAATTAATAAACAGTTACTACAATACCCATTCACTGTTGTCTCGTCATCAAAAACATGTTCCAGATTCGTCATCCATTGTTCCATTCCAGTGTTCATTAACCAATCATTGCACTAATTATTCGAACGCCTGCTCAAACAGCCAGGTCTTCACTTTTTTACGGAATACCATTAGAGATGGTGCTAGTCTAATGTCCGTAGGAAGGGCATTCCACAGCCGAGGAGCCACCACCGAGAAGGCCCTATCTCTCGTCCCTGCCAGCCGAGCTTGAGAAGCAGGCGGGATCGAGAGCAGGGTCTCCCTGGAAGATCTCAAAGTCCTGGTGGGTTCATAGGCAGAGATGCGGTCGGATAGGTAGCTTGAGCTGGAACCGTTTAGGGCTTTAAAGGCCAACGCCAGCACTTTGAATTCAGCCCGGTAGCAGATCGGTAACCAGTGGAGTTGCCGCAACTGGGGGGTTGTATGCTCCCTGCGCTCCGCTCCTGTTAAAATCATGGCTGCCGAGCGTTGGACTAGTTGGAGCTTCCGAGCCGTCTTCAAAGGCAACCCCACGTAGAGAGCGTTGCAGTAGTCCACGGTAGTCCACGCGCTGGTTACATGCGGTACTGAGTACACACCTCATTATAAACAGTCAAACCTTTGTTGCTGGTTAGGATACTGGTACCACCATGAGAGGCCCGTAGCCAGGATTTCGTTCGGGGGGGGGGGGGGGCTGAATTTTTCGGGGGGGGGGAACGGGTTCGGGGGGGGCTGAGTCAGGGGGGGGCTGAGTCTGAGTGAAAGAGGGTCTACCCTAGCAAACCTTTTGTATCACTACACCAATACCCCCATGCATATGGGATATATTGAGTATGGTGATCAGATCATGATATGAATAAACATAACAGTTTAAATAATGCACCAGTAAGGCCTTTCGCGAACCACCATGAGAATTTCGGGGGGGGGGGGCTAAGCCCCCCCCCCCCCCCCCCCCCCCCCCCCCCCCCCCCGGCTACATGCCTGGACCTGAGTCTACGCTGCCTGATCCAAGATAAGCAGATAATCGGGAATCAGATCCCGGAGCAGTGTAGATCCAGCCTAAGTCCCCTTTTACACTGCCATAGAAAACCCAGAGTATCTGCTTTGAACTGGATTATCTGGCAGTGTAGACTCGTATAATCCAGTTCGAAGCAGACAATGTGGATTATCTGCTTTGTGTCAGCTCTTATAACACAGTTCAAAGCAGTGTAGACTCATATAAGTGCAGTGTAGACTCATATAACCCAGTTCAAAGCAGTGTAGACTCATGAGTGCAGTGTAGACATATAATACAGTTCAATGCAGATAATATGGATTATCTGCTTTGTGTAGTCATATAATCTAGTTAAAAACAGCGTAGACTCATATTCCAGTTAAAAGCAGATAATGTGGATTATCTGCTTTGTGTATTCTCATATAATCCAGTTCAAAGCAGTGTTAGACTCATATAATCCAGTTCAATGCAGATAATATGGTTTATCTGCTTTGTGTAAAAAATAAAAAGGTAAAGGTTGTCCCCTGACATTAAGTCCAGTCATGTCTGACTCTGGGGTGTGGTGCTCATCTCCATTTCTAAGCCGAAGAGCCGGCATTGTCCATAGACACCTCCAAGGTCATGTGGACAGCATGACTGCATGGAGCACTGTTTCCTTCCCACCGGAGCGATACCTATTGATCCACTCACGTTTGCATGTTTTCGAACTGCTAGGTTGGCAGAAGCTAGGCCTGACAGTGGAAGCTCACACCACTTCCCGAAATCAAACCTGTGACCTTTCGGTCAAGAAGCTCAGCAGCTCAGCGTTTTAACCCACTGCGCCACTGGGGGCTCCTACTTTGTGTAGACTCATATAATCCAGTTCAAAGCAGTGCAGACTCATATTCCAGTTCAAAGCAGATGTGGATTATCTGCTTTGTGTAGACTCATATAATCCAGTTCAAAACAGTGTAGACTCATATGAGTGCAGTGTAGACTCATATAATCCAGTTCAAAGCAGATAATGCAGATCATCTGCTTTGGTACTCTGGATTATATGGCAGGGTAGATCCAGCCTTGAGGCCTAAAGTGGGGTGGAGCTGCATTGATTCTACAGGATAGATTCATCCTAATTGGAGAGCAGGAATCCAAACCAGGTGCCTTTAGTAGTTTCACTGCAGGTGGTTCAAAAGGAACTCAGCCCAATGGAATGCAGCAGGAGGCCCTTGCCTGCCTGCCTGCTCTCTGCTGCTCTTCCTTGGCTATCCTTTCTGAAATGGAGCTGCCAAAGCAAACCGGAAGCTGGGAGGCGTGGGTTGCTCCTTTCTCCTCTCTGGAGGAGGCCCCTGGAGGGGGAGAGGGGGCTGGAGCGGGTTCGGCTGTCAGGAAATAGGCGGGGTCCCAGGGAACAGGAGGAGGAGGCGAGGAAGATGGCAGAGACGGAGACTCAGCTCTTGCTGGGCGTGGGGCTGATCGGTGAGTCTGCTTCTCCTGCCCTTCGCCCTGCAATACATGTAGCATTCCCCCCCCCCAACAGAGGGCACTTCCTTTCCTCCCTTACACGTCTACACGGCGAAATGAATGCAGTTTGATACCGGTTTAACTAACTGGGAATCGTCTCTGGGGAGCTGGAGAATCCCCAAACTACAAGCCCCAGGATTCCATTGCATTTGAGCCCTCTCACTTGAAACTGCATTCATTCATTCCATAGTTTAGTTAAGAGACAGCCGTAGGCTGTTAGGAATTGTGGGAGTTGAAGTCCAAAACCCCTGGAGGGCCCAAGTTTGCCCATGCCTGCCTTAAATATTGAATCATGCTTTTTAGGTGGGCAGCTATTCTGAATTAATGTCCCTAACAGGTTGATTGTGTTATTGAAATATTTCACAGCCGGGGCTGTATGGCCATGCTCCAGTAGCATTCTCTCCCTGACGTTTTGCCTGCATCTGTGTTTTATTCAAAGGTCTGTACAGACTTGTACAGAGAATAGACCTCTGAGCAAACTTCTGAGGATATCTGCCACAGATGGAGGTGAAATGTCAGGAGAGAATGCTACTGGAATGTGTCCATACAGCCCGAAAAACTCACAGCAACCCAGGTTGAGTAGGCCTTTGGGATCAGAAATGTCTTGGAATTTAGGTATGGGAATGCCTGTATTTGCATATAATGTACATCATAAGATATCTTGGAAATCAGACTCATAATTTACCAGTTGGACTCGATAGCCCATGAGGTCCCCTCCAACTCTATGATTCTATAATGCAATTTCCCTTCTTCTTAGCCGGAGGTTGGACTGGATGGCCCATGAGGTCCCTTCCAAATCTATGATTCTATATTTATTTATTTACAACATTAAAAGCTGCCCTTCCCACCCCAAGGGGACTCAGAGTGGCTTACAGGTTATATATACATACAATATCTTCTATTATTAGCACAGCACAATATTAGTATTGTATATTACTATATTGTACTATACCACTATACTATAATATTATTAGTAATACATTACATGTAACATGAAATATAGAATTATTATATTGTATTATTATTAGTATTATATTGTATTACATTGTAATATTATTAATATTATTTGTGTATACAATATATTATTATTATTAGCACAGCACAATATTAGTATTATATATTACTAATTTGTACTATACCACTATACGGTAATATGCATGTAGCCTGAAGGTAATTTTATACACAATGCTTTCAATAATTTTGTGTATGAATGTTTATATACTTCGAACGGTCAGAAAGCAAAGATGTCACTATCTCAACCACTTATGTGAATAGTTTTGGATTTTGGAGAGTTTTGGATTATGCTTAACCTGTACTTTACCTTCTTCTAGAGGGGAGCCAGTCCTTACAACATTATCTGGGCTCACTTATTATCATCCTTAGCCGTGCCTTTGAGTGCATCTACATTGCGTAGAATTAATGCAGTTTGATCCCACTTTAACTGCCATGGCTCAATAATATGGAATCATAGTTTGGTGTGGCACAGGAATTTTTTGGAAGAGAAGGCTAAAAACATTGGAAAGCTACAATTACCATGATTCCATAGCAGTTAAAGTGGGGTCAAACTTTATTAATTCTACAGTGTGAATGCACCCTTAAAGATGCACTTTCCCAGCAGACTTTTTTAAAAATCCCCTTAAAATCAGACACTGAAATATGTAAATATGCCATCCCTTCCATAGTCCTGTCATGTTAATTAACATTTGGCGTACTTTGTATAAGCAGCTTAGGTCTCTTCCTAATTGTGCAGTGTGTGTATATACTCCTTGGTCTGTCAATGAAAGTGGCTTTTTGAAATGCTAAGGTTTGATTATTCTGTAAGAGAAGGCTTTATCTGGATGATGATGTAGATGCTCCTCTTTGAATGAGGTAGGAATTTAGTTTAATGTTTTTATGTGACTTCAAATCATTTCTGAATTATAGCAACCCTAAAGCAAACTCATTACAGGCTTTTCTTGGCAAGATTTGTTCAGAGGGAGCTTGCCATTGACTCAAATAAATCTATATACATAATACATTGTAAGATAAAACCAATGCTAAAAAAAGTTTCAATAATAATAATAATAATAATAATAATAATAATAATAATCTTTATTTATACCTCACCTCCTCATCCTCGGGGAGACTCGATGGCTTACAATCTTCTATCTTCTATCTACATAATTAAAAATGTAATGTTCATTTGTGGGATTAACATAACTCAAAAACCACTGGACGAATTGACACCAAATTTGGACACAATACACCTATCGGGCCGACGAGTGACCATCACTCATAAAAACACTGAAAAACACAGCAGAAGAGACTTAAAAAGCAAAAAAAAACCAACAACCCCAAAATACATTATAATCCATGCGCAAAACCACATATAGACACAAACATATATATTTACACATATACACAAATATATATACACACACATATACAAATACACACACAAAACACATATACATAGACTCGGCCACAGCAATGCGTGGCAGGGGACAGCTAGTACACATGATAAAAGTTAAAATCTGTATGTGTGTGTCCACATACACAGACAAGCTCCTGCCTCTACAAACAGCTATTGCTCCCACTACTCAGGAGATACCAATGGCCCTACCTCCAATGACATTGCAGTTTACAGGGAGTGCCATTAACATGTCCAAGAACCCTACCAATGTCCTCCACACACACCATGCTGACCACCATCCAAGTGAAGGCTTTATTACGGGGGCAAGTTCATCCTAGGTTTTTTGTGTTTCCTCCACCACAGACATCCCAGTGTTAATTACTTTCTTCATTGGTGTGAAATTTGCATGACTCTGCCCACTGCCTCTCCCTTAACCCTTTCCTCTTCTTTTCTGTGGCATACAGCAAACAGAGAAATTGATCCACAACTGGGCATACTAGAGAAGATTGGGGAGAATTCACCATGATTTATAGGAATTGTAGGTACTGGATGTATAGTTCACCTGTAATCTAGGAGCACTCTGAACTCCAACAACGGTGGACCTGGAACTAACTTGGCGCACAGAACCCCCATGACCAACAAAAAATCTTTGGCGGGATTTATAGGAGTTGCAGTTCACGTACATCCAGAGTGCACTATGAACGCAAACAATGATGGATATGGACCAAACTTGGCGTGCATACCTGATATGCCCAAATTTGATTACTGGAGGGCTTTGAGGGGAACTGACCTTTGTTTTGAGGGGAATTGGCCCAGACAGTTTGGAGTTGTAGATACTGGGATTTATAGTTCACTTGCAATCAGTGAGCACTCTGAACTCCACCAAAGATGGAACTGGACCAAACTTGGCACACAGAGCCCCCATGACCAGTAAAAAAAATTATGTAGGTAATTGAGGAAAATTCACTGTGATTTGGGGGAGTTGTAGTTCACCTACATCCAGAAAGCACTATGAACCCAAACACCAATGGATGTGGACCAAACTTGGCACACATACCTGATATGCCAAAATTTGATTACTCTTTGGTTGTGGGGGAAACTGACCTTCCTTTCTGGGAGTTGTAGGTTGCCCACAACCAGAGAAACTGACCTCCGCCGATGATGGACCTGGACCAAACTTGGCACACAGAACCCTCATGAGTAACTCAAACCTAGAGGGGTTTGAGAGGACTGACTCACCATAGTGGGAGTTGTAGTTTACCCTACAGCCAGAAAGTACACTGAACCCCACCGATTATGCATCTAGAGCAAACTTGTCCAACATTGCGAACTGATGGAGTTTTTCGGGGTTAACCTGTCATGATGTGAGTTGTAGTTCACCCACAACCTTATACATTTTGTATAATTATAAATCTGACTTTTTCAAATGACCCGGACCATGCCAGGTACTCAAGCCAGTCAGTAATAAAATTAATAATAATAATAATTCATATGAGGTTGAAACAATGTGACTCGCCCAAAGTCTCCCAATTGGATATCATGGCTGAGCAGGGCTTTTAAAGCTGGATTCCCAGAGGTCTAGTGCATCTTTAAAATCTATAGCACACTAGGTCATAATTTATTACATTATTCTTTATTGAGCACTGGGATATACAGAGTATAAAAGAGTACGCCTCTGTTCTTAGAAACATGCAGTTTGAAATTTGACATAAGAGAAACAAAAGAGGAAGGGAGAGCAAACAGAAAAAGAATGATTGTCATGTTTGTTGACATGTGCTTAGGTTTGATTACAAGTTCATTGCCTGCAAATTATAGGGTCATCTTGTCATTTAAAAAAATGCTGCTCCAAATTACTGTGTAAAAAGCAAAACTACAGGTTTAGGGGAGATAAACAATGCATCTCTGTATCATATATCTAAAGCCTAAGTGTCCTAAAGCAGCGTTTCTCAACCTGGGGGTCACAAACCATGGGGGGGGTTGTGAGGGGGGTGTCAAAAGGGTCACCAAAGACCATCGGAAAACACGGTATTTTCTATTGGTCATGGGGGTTCTGTGTAGGAAATTTGGCTCAATTCTATCAGCAGTGTGGTTCAGAATACTCTTTGATTGTAGGTAACCTATAAATCCCAGCAACTACAACTCCCAAATGTCAAGATCTATTTATCCCAAACTCCACCAGTGTTCACATTTGGGCATATTGAGTATTCATGCCAAGTTTGGTCCCGATCGATCATTGTTTGCGTCCACAGTGCTCTCTGGATATAGGTGGACTACAACTCCAAAACTCAAGGTCGATGTCCATCAAACCCTTCCAGTATTTTCTGTTGTTCATGGGAGTTCTGTGTGCCAAGATTGGTTCAATTCCATTGTTGGCCAAGTGCAGAATGGTTTTTGTTTGTAGGTGAACTATAAATTCCAGCAACTACAACTCCCAAATGAAAAAAATCAATCCACCCCTCCCTCGCCAATCCCACCAATATTCAAATTTGGGTGAATCAGGTATTTGTGCCAAATTTGGTCCAGTGAATGAAAATACATACTGCATATCAGATATTTACATTACAATTCATAACAATAGCAATATTACTGTTAGGAAGTAGCAACAAAAACAATTTTATGGTTGGAGGTCACCACAACATAAGGAACTGTATTAAGGGATCGCGGTGTTCGGAAGGTTGAAAACTACTGCCCTAAAGGCACCAGATTAAGTATGATTTTGGAAGCTAAGCAGGGTAGTCCTAGTTAATAGGACTTGGATGGGAGATTTGCAATGAGTATTTCAGAGGAACGATCTGGCAAAACAACAGCTTGAGTATTCCTTGCATAAGAAAATCTTGTGAATTTTTTGGAATAGCCTTAAGTCAACAGGTGATTTGAAGGCACATAAAGATGTGCGTAATCCATCTATGTTTGCCGTAACCCACATTTAAAATGGAAACAACAGTTTAAGGTGTAGATATCAGCTGTGTGAGTGGGAATCAATATATTTTTGTGTGTGTACAATGCGAGTGTTAAGGTGATTGCAGTAAGTGGAACTGATTAACCAATCAATTTACTTCCTTGCTGCTGTTGGCATTCTCACAGTGAACATCTTTCCACCATAGAAAAAGATACCAACGGAGATGCTCTGTGGGTTTGGTGCTACCCTTCTACGACAGTTGAGTTAAGGGATCTCTTGTTGAGAAAATGCTGCCTTACAGATGAAAGCAAACAGCTTCACACATTCCTCTTTGGTCAGCACAGAATGACGTGGTTTTACATTACAACCATGGAGGTTCCGGATTCTTCAGCACTGAAAAAGGTAGGATCGAAATTCTGGAGAGGTTGGTTTCAAAGGATCTTATTCCTGTGTGCTTTATCATCTTGAGAGAAATGGTATTTGTGAATGCTTGCCGACAAGACATATTTAACATGCCTGCTAATCTGTCCAAATTATTTGTATGTCCATCCATAAGACAAATGTTGACTACAATGTCTGACACTGACAGCCTCAAAAACAATGTTAAGAATATGAGCATAAGAGCGTGTAAGAACAATATTTTTCCTTTAATATATACATTTCCATTTAAAACTAAGGGTGTGTCTACACAGTAGAATGAATGCAGTTTGACACCACTTTAACTGCCTTGGTTCAGTGTTATGGAATCCTAGGAGATATTTAACTGTTTAACAGAAAAAGCTAAAGATCTTGTAAAACTACCACTCCTGTGTTTTCAGAGGGTTGAACCATTGCATAGTTAAAGTGCTGTCAAACTGCATTAATTCCATAGTGTAGATGCCCCTGCAACTTAGAGATGCAAAATGCAATTGGAACAGGAGACAGTATATCATGTTTCCAGTACTACAATGTAAGTCACCTGTCTTTTCCAGTTATCCGTTCTTGGGCGGTGTTATTGCAGTGCTCATGTACCAACATATAGTTTTTATAGGAAATTTTATAGGAAACTTCAGGAGAGAATGCTTCTGGAACATGGCCATATAGCCCGGAAAACTCAAAGCAACCCAGTGATTCTGGCCATGAAAACCTTCAACAACACAGTTTATTTTACTATGGTTCATCAGCGTTCAAATTTGTTATCGCTATAAGTATGCTTACATTCCACTAAATGCTTGCTTAGCAGCTTCCTGTAGCTCCAGTTTTCTCCCTGTTTCTTTTTTCTTCTGAAAGTTTCGTATTTCTGTCAAATGTTTGTAACTCATATATCTAGCAAGCTTACTCACTTGAATAGTTGACACCAGTTTTATATGTCTGATTGTGAAAGTTGCATAAGATTCTGAAACTTTACCTTTTTAAAAAACATCACCCCTGTGAGATTCAGTACGCTGAGTATCTTTGTATGGGTGTTGTGTATTGCATGTGTAATACAGTTGAGTGTAAAGCAACTCTCTAAAGCAATGTTTTTATCCATATGTTCTATAGGTGACACATTTTTCCATTGTCTTGACCGCCAAAGACTTTAATCCAGAGAAATATGCAGCCTTTTCTCGGATCCTCTGTAGGTGTGTATCACTGGTCTGTTTTATACTGCAGCTGCAGAGTTCAGTAGGTAATTTAAAATCCTTTTTGATCATTGTTCTCAGTCTTGAGTTGTAACCGTAGGGAAAAGCAGGTATGCATAAAGTAATTGCTTGTTCCCAATTTTGAGAGTCAACTTTGGACACAATTCTTCACTATTTTGGGAGGTCTTGGGACAAACTTACCAAGAATGTTCACCTTTCTCATATGGAACGCCATGTATACATGTGTATTGAAATATTATAGCTAAAATTTAAATATTCTCTTTTCTATGGGACAACTGTGTTGTTTTAATCACATTAATTGTCACACAGGGCCTTGTAATATTCTGTCTAAACTACTACAACATTATCTACATGCCCTTGAGGAATATAATAGGCAACTTCGTTTGGTTCTGAATAATCAGCAGATTATTAGCTTGTATTGTCAAAGGCTTTAATGGCCGGAATCACTGGGTTGTTGTAGGTTTTTTAGGGCTGTATTGCCACGTTCTAGAACTGGTTCCAACAGACCTCACAACCTCTGAGGATGCTTGCCATAGATGCAGGCAAAACGTCAGGAGAGAATGCCTCTAGAACATGGCCATACAGCCCGAAATAACCTACAACAACCCAGATTATTAGCTTGTTTGTGGGCTGAAATCCAGAAGAATGATACTTTCAAGACCTAAATTGTGGGTGGAAACAATTTCCTCCAGAAGTTTGGGACAATCATACTTGCAAGCCATTATTATTTGTGATGCAAGATGGGACTTACAGCTCATGATCTATAGCTGTGACAAAAGTACTCTAGCAAGGTTATCTTGGAATAGGCAAGAAAGTAGATGAGATTCTACTGGTACTTAAAAAAAAAAGATTGGTAGGAAATTTCGATGAGTTCTCTTGATAGCCAGCTGTTTAAAAATAGTAATGGCAAAGAGATTAAGTTTTGTCATTGTGTTCCTTCAAGTTGTTTAAGACCTTGAGGTGAATTTATCATGAGATTTTATTTATTTATTTACTGTATTTATATACCGGTTTTCTCATGAAGGGACTCAAAGCGGTTTCCCACATAGTTACGGCAAAAATTTAATGCCAAACATACATGGGAAAAACCAAACAGAAAATCAGCAATAACATAAACAATGAAATCATATTAAACCATAAAACATAAGTCACATTTAGACATTTGTTCAGACGGAATTTACCTTTGCCTAAGGCTAAGAGAGTGCAATTTTTCCAAAGTTTGAGCAGAGATTCAGAACTTGGGTTGTTGTAGGGTTTTCTGGCTGTGTGGCCATGTTCAGACCTTGGTCTCCAGGGTCATAATGTTAGGCTCAAACCACTATACCATGTTTGCTTTCAGATTATACTCATTGATGAAAACCGAGGAGTGTTTGTATGTAATGTGTTGAAGGACTCTTCTGTAAATCTAAGACCACTTTTATACTGCCATATAAAATCCAGATTATCTGCTTTGAACTGGCTTATATGGTAGTGTAGACTAATATAATCCTGTTCAAAGCAAATGATGTGGATTGTCTAGTTTATATGGCAGTTTAGAAGGGGCCTCTTTGTATGTCGTTTGCAGCAGGTTCCATTTACTGGACTTGATTTTTTTAATAAACAACAAAGTGGATCCTACATGCTGTTAATGAGACTGTTGGTGTATTCTATTAAAGAACCTAGGCTCTGTTAATTGTATAAAGTCTCACAGGTTGGGATTCATAACAAGGATTTTTCATTAGCAATGAGTAGACTGTAGCATGACTTAATTGGAAAGCACATAGCATTACTTACTGCTTTTATTAATTTTATTAATTACAAGTTTTATCAATGATGTAATATCATTGAGTTGTTGTAGGCTTTTTTGGGCTGTATGGTGATGTTCTAGAGGCATTCTCTCCTGACGTTTCGCCTGCATCTATGGCAAGCATCCTCAGAGGTCGTGAAGTCTCATAACCTCTGAGAAAGGCTCCCATAGATGCAGGTGAAATGTCATGAGAGAATGCCTCTAGAACATGGCCATATAGCCCGAAAAAACCTACAACAACGCAGTGATTCCGGCCATGAAAGCCTTTGACAATACATTAATATCATTGACTTAATGAATACGGTATAAGCCCTGTATCCTTGCAAGATAGGTTCTTGAACTTAGCATAGAAACAGGAAATCATGGATAATAGAGAACCCTATTGAAATGAACTACTTCTGCCAGAAATTATTATAGAGTCATTCTGTAGAACCTGGGAAATTCCTATCCTTTATTGAAATTTTCTAGGTCTTCCAGGGTGACTTTCTGGCAACATCCAACAGAAGGATATCATAAATTACCTGAAAAAAACTAGAAAATTCCTAAAGAGAATATATTTTGTCAAAGACAGGGATATGAAACTACACGTACCGGTCCCATTTGTACAGAGGTCATCAGACATAGAAAGACAAGTAAGCTAGTATGTGAAAATGTTTATTGTTCAGCATATATGAACAATAAAACGTTTCTTAGGGCAGTTATTAGTGACTCCACAGCAGTATATTTAATTTTCTTTGCTATCAGTGCAAAGTTAAAAACATGAAGGTTTTGTTATCATTTTCAGAATATACCTGAAATATGGGAGTCCTGTGAAAATGATGGAGAGTTATATTTCTGTCCTGACAAAAGGAATCTGCCAGAATGAAGAAAATGGCTCTTTCCTAAGCAAAGATTTTGATGTCCGAAAAGCTTACCTTGCAGGTTCAATTAAAGGTAGGAAAAATTCTTCCAAACCCTTATTCTAATGAGGTATACTGTATATACTCGAGGTTATGTCTAGTTTTTCAGCCCTATTTTTAGACTGAAAAAGTCCCCCTCGGCTTATACTTGAGTCAAGGTTATTTAATATTTTTATCTTTTATTATTATTATTATTATTATTATTATTATTATTATTATCATCATCATCATCATCATCATTATTATTACGTTTACCATTTACTCTATTAGTATTACTATCATTTGTTATTTTACTTTATTGTTGTTATTGCATTTATTATTTTACTATATTTATTATTGTTGCTATATTTATTATTTTACTCTATTATACTGTTATTACATTTCCATTATTTTACTCTATTATTATTATTATTATTATTATTATTATTACATTTATTATTTTACCCATTTTTATTATTGGAAGGATATGTAAGCACATTTACATTGATGAAGATTAGAATAATGGTATAATCAGATTTGGACAGTCTTCTCTTAAGTTACAGTTTTATGTAAATATTCAAAAACATTTAACCTACTGATGCCCAGTTAATGTAATTTTATTGGTATCTATTTTTATTTTGAAATTTACCAGCAGCTGCTGCATTTCCCACCCTCTGCTTATTCTCAAGTCAACCCGTTTTCACAGTTATTTGTGGTAAAATTAGGTACCTCGGCTTATGCTCGAGTATATATGGTATCCTCTTCCCTTACAGCTATCGTATCAGATAGACCAGTCTGAAAATGAATGACTGGCTCAAGGCCATTCATTGAGTTTCATAATTGAATATTCCTGGGCATTGTAAGTCCCATTCCAATACCCTAGCCACCATAATACACCTGCTGACTGCTTAGAGCTTAGAAAAATTGCTTTATTCATTGGAAATAATAATATTCATGTTATTAATAGTAATATAATTATCATTAATTTTATTTATATCCCGCCTTTCTCTCCATAGGGACTCAAGCAACTAATAATGTCATAACACAACCCAATACAATTTAACAACAAGGCAGATGCAAAACTTTAAAAACAACTAAATACTTGTGTCAAGACTAGAAAGTTAAAATAAAAATACAGTTACAATTTTATTTGAAAGCTAAACATCAATAAATAGCAACACAATAGTGTGTTGACATTTCTAAAAATAACATTTCCAAGCCATGCTCTCAGCTTCCATCTAGAGATTGCAGTACAGTAAGCAGTTCTGTCTGAAATTGTGATGAGTTGTGCATAACACACCTGGTATTCATTGGCAGTCTCCTATCCAAGTGCTAACCAATACTGCTGATCAAAAGGTCAGTGGTTCGAATCCGGGGAGTGGGTTGAGCTCCCATCTCTCCATTCCAGCTTCTCATACGGAGACATGAGAGAAGCCTCCCACAGGATGATAAAAACATCTGGGCGTCCCCTGGGCAACGTCCTTGCAGACAGCCAATTCCCTCACACCAGAAGTGACTTGCAGTTTCTCAAGTCGCTCCTGACATGGAAAAAAAATTAACCAGGACTGGTCCTGCTTAGCTTCCATGATAAAACAGGATCTGGTGCCTCAAAAGTATTTACAAGTAGGACAGTACAACATTTTCCGACAGCTGTGGTGTCAACATCTGGCATCTGTGAGCCACACATCTGGCATCTGTCTTTAGCTCTACTTTCATTTCCTCCTCATGATGTCTTGCTCCAAACAGCACTGGACAGCTAGATATTGTTTCTCATTATAAGTAGTTAAAGTGAGTTATTATGAACCCTACTTCATGACATTATTGCTGTCTTCATGTTTATCAGCTGCCACATAGTACTAAACCCCTGTTTTCATTCCTTCCTTATGTTCAAGATATAATCACTCAATTTGGAATGGAATCAGTCATCCTGTATACCGCAGTGATGTTAAAGAAAAGAATTGTAGTATATCACCCAAGAATAGAAGCTGTCCAGGAGTTTACAAGGTACAGCACATTGATGAAATAAGTATTCACCAAGCATGTTCACATTTCTTCTCTAGTCTTTTGGCAATGGGGTATGATGAATTATATTAGTGCTTAGTCTCTGAAGCACAGATTGGTCCAGTTCACACATGATGCTTAACCTGGCAGCCGTGATGGACTGGATGAGGGCTAACCGTCCGAAGCTTAATCCAGACAAGACAGAGGTCCTCCTGGTCAGGCGTGAGGCCAGTTGGGGTATAGGGTGGCAACCTGTGCTCGATGGGGTCACACTCCTCCTGAGGACACAGGTCTGCAGTTTGGAGGTCTTGAACTCAGTGCTGACACTTGAATGCTCAGGTGTTGGAGGTGGTTGGGTGGGCCTTTGCACAATTAAAGCTTGTCCGCCAGATGCGACCATATCTCGAGAAGTCTGATGTGGCCACAGTGGTCCATGCCTTGGCTGCATCCAGACTGGATTACTACAATGCATTCTATGTGGGGTTGCCTTTGAAGATGGCCCGGAAACTGCAATTAGTGCAAAGGTCGGCTGCCAGGCTTCTAACTGGAGCTAACTGGTGCACAATGCTCCTGTTTAAGCAGCTCCATTGACTTCTGCTAAGTTTCTGGTCCCAATTCAAGGTGCAGGTTATGACCTACAAACTCTAAATAGTTCAGGCCCCACCTGTCTTTGTGATCGCATCTCCAGCGTGGGTTCTAAGATCTGCCAGAGAGGCCGTCCTTTCACTTCCACCATGGTCACAAGCGTAGCTGGTGGAAATGAGAGAGAGGGCCTTCTCGGTGGTGGCCCCTGACTTTGGAACTCCCTCCCCAGGGAGATTAGGCAAGCCCTTCTCTGTCCTCCTTTCGTAAGGATCTGAAAACCTGGATGTTCCAACAAGCATTTGAGAATGACTAGTCCCTACTTATAAATGCCCAGTCCCTACCTCGCCAGATGGTACTCAGTTCTCTGCACGTCTTCCAGTCCCCCAGCCCAGACCCGTAGCCAGGATTTTGATTTGGGGGGGGGGGGGGGGGGACGCCCATGCATATGAGATATATTGAGCATGGTGATCAGATCATGATATGAATAAACATAACAGTTTAAATAATGTACCAGTAAGGCCTTTCTGCAGACCACCATGAGAATTTCAGGGGGGGGGGCTGAAGCCCCCCAAGCCCATAATAGTTTATGGGCCTGCCCCAGCCTTATAGTACGCTCTTTTGCACTATCCTAGGCCCAGTCCTCTTTATACCCTGATCATACTCATATTAGTATTCTGGTTATTAGTTTTTGTTGTGTATTGTTTGAATGAGTTTTAATGCTGCTGTTTAATACCCTTATGTTTCATTTAATTGTGTTTTATTTTATTGTTATGCTTTGCTATGTTTTATTTTAATTGCATTTTTTTAATGGATTGTTTTGTTTTGTCCCATGTGTAAGCCGCACCGAGTCCCTTCGGGGAGATGGAGGCGGGGTATAAAAATAAAGTTGTTGTTATTATTATTATTATTATTATTATTATTATTATTATTATTAACACCAAAAAGTATTAACTTCATTCTTTTTTTAAAGTATATTGTTAATATAGTCAAACCCTTTTAATTTAATTTTAGGACTCTACCAGCCTTGGTGTGGCATCGACAGGATTGGTCAGTCCTTCATTCTTATGTACATCTGAATGATGATGAGCTGGAAGCATTAAAAATGTGTCCAGGTATTAATAATCAGGGTTGTGATTCACTGCTGTTCCAATTTTCCAATTATTATAATGGCACCAGAATATGGTCAAATAGCAGAAAGCAAAAAAGTCAGTAATAGGCTCTAAGAGCGCCTAAAGCAGTTGTTCTCAACCTGGGGTCCCCAGATGTTTTTGGCCTACAACTCCCAGAAATCCCAGCTAGTTTATCAGCTGTTAGGATTTCTGGGAGTTGAAGGCTGAAAACATCTGGGGACCCCAGGTTGAGAACCACTGGCCTAAAGCTTCATACCTAAAGAAGCAACTTAAAATTATGCCTGAAGAAAAATACTTGTTGGCTTGTGTTATTTGTACTTTAGTGGCAGGTCTTGGTAATATGCCCTTCTTTTACTTAGGGAGAGAAGCAATGAGTTATATCATTTTTTAATTCTTACCTCCTCCTCCTGAGGTCTGTGTGCAGTACTCTTTCTAAAATATTTTTAGAAATATTTTATTTTTAATTGTATAGATATTATATTAAAATGTTATAATACATGTTATAATAACCATGTCAGATGTTCTGCTGTGATTTTCCATCTTCAGGTAGAAGTATGTTAAGGATAGAATTTCTGCATTTTCTTGAGTAAATTTCAAAGAAATCAGCAGAAATTCAACCAAACCCTTGCTTTTAAACCAACATTAGATGGTTTAAAAGTAGGAAAATAATGATACTTTAATATATATATATATATGGAAAATCTTTTTCAATAACCATGGTTTAATCTTTCCTAATTAGGTTTTATTGCTGGCTTTATTGATTCAGAAGTGATCAACAGGCCAGATCTCTATGATGTATATGTGAATCTGGCTGAAAGTGAAATTACTATTTCCCAGCAAGCAAAAGGTTTGTTGGCATCTAATATCAATGTTTGCATATTTCCGCTTGCATTTTTTAGTAGCATATTTGTGTAGGGTTTGGTTTAGCTTTCTAATTAGGTGGGGAAATTTTACATTTCCATTCTTAAACTACTTGAATACAACAATGGAGTTGTTTAAAATAGTAACAAATAGCAAATATTTAATTGTTTTTCATAAAAAATGGTATTGGCCTTTTAGATTTTAGTGAGTTGTGTCATGATGTTGCTCTGCGTTGAGTTCCTATGGAGAGAAAGGCAACATAGAAATAAAGTTAAGAAGAAAGAGAAATTCAGAGATTGAAACTATGTTGGTGTTGGATTTTTCATTTGGGATGAATGTATTTCAGTAAAAATGACACTACATATATAGTTCAGTGGTTATTTCTTAGCAGAAAAAAAGCAGACAAACTAAGGTTCCACTGCAATCAAAAGAACCAAATACTAAAAGATGGCAACAAGAAGGATTTTGTGAGCTCAACCATAGAGACAGCAAAAAGATTATTAATACAAAGAGCCCTTAGTTTGTGGAATAAGAAAGTTTATCTGTATTTCCTCTGTGATATCCGGGTTGTTATGAGCTTTTGAACATGGTTTCTGTTATTATTATCATACCTACAGAACAGGAGATTTCAGGTTTGTTTGACTAAACTTACAGAATGTGTTGTTGAAGGCTTTCATGGATGGGATCACTGGGTTGCTGTGAGTTTCCCGGACTGTATGGCCTTATTCCAGAAGCATTCTCTCCTGCCGTTTCACCCACATCTATGGAAGGCATCTCCAGAAGTGGAGGGGTCTGTTGGAAACTAGACAAGTGAGGTTTATATATCTGTGGAATGTCCAGGGCGGGAGAAAGAACTCTTGTCTGCTTGAGGCAAGTGTGAATGTTGCAATTGGCCACCTTGATTAGCATGTAATGGCCTTGCAGCTTCAAAGCCTGGCTGATTACTGCCTGGGGGAATCCTTTGTTTGGAGGTGTTAGCTGGCCCTGATTGTTTCATGAAATTCCCGTTTTTGAAATGTTGCTCATTATTTACTGTCCTGATTTTAGAGGGGTTTTTTAAAAAAAAAAAGTGGTAGCCAGATTGTGTTCAATTTTATGGTTTCCTCCTTTCAGTTTAAAAAAACCCTCTAAAATCAGGACAGAAATAAAGAGCAATGCTCAAAAAGCAGGGGAATTCCAGACAAGAATCAATCAGGACCAGCTAACAAATCCCAAAAAAGGATCCCCCAGGCAGCAACCAGCCAGGCTTTGAAGCTGCAAGGCTATTAAATGCTAATCAAGGTGACCAATTGCAACATTCACACTTGACAAGAGTTCTTTCTCCCACCCTGGACATTCCACAGATATATAAACATCACTTGCCTAGTTTCCAACAGACCCCTCAACCTCTGAGGATGTCGACCTTAGATGTGGACGAAATGCCAGGAGAGAATGCTTCTGGAACATGGCCATACAACCTGGAAAACTCACAGCAACCCAACTTACAGAATGCTTCGCTATACCAGTTGGCACTTCTGGGATTTGATCTGAACAACATTTCTGGAACCAGGGCTGGGAACTAGGGCTCTAGGGCCATTTATTACTGTGTGTTTTATCTGACCTGGATGGTGGATATGGGTAACACCGTTTTCTTTCTGCCTTTCTCTCCCCAGAGGCAATGACAATGGGAAAACTGCACAAAGAAATCGGTCAGCTCATTGTTCAGTCGGCAGAAGATCCAGATAAATCTAACGGTCAAGTTGTTAAGGTTAATCTACTTTTTGGATCATTTCAGTCTTGAACATACTTTGGTTTCTTAAATATTGCAATTTCACTTTCAGATTATTGTTTAATCCAAGGACAATGGGAGTTCAGAAACACACAGCAGGGCACAAGTTGGCCACTTTTGACCTAAGCCATGGTTTAAGTCAATCATTCTCAGACAGCTCTTATCAGCAGCAGTCTGGCACAAGACTACAGCACGTTGCGTGTAGATAATAGGGGGACAATGGTCTCATGTGATTTAAGGCAGTTTTTTAAAATATTTTTATTTCCATACCAAGTGACTTTGCTATTTGAGGACTTAGAACACCTTTACAACCAAAGAGCTACCTGGGCACTGCTCTGTATCAGGACGTTTTCCACTTGCAACCACTTTCTGCCTGAGAATTTTGTTTGTAGCCCCAGGTTTATAAAATAGGTATAACATTTTAAAAAAAATAGTGATAATAAATCTGCATTCACAAGACTTGCTAAACAGGGCAATTTCCTTTTTGTGGAGTACAGCTGAAGCATTTTCTGCAGAGTCCACTGTAAACACTGTATTTACATTGGACCTTTTACTGTTGCCAAACTTTTCGTGACCCCAATATTGAACTAAAGGAATCCCATTTGGGGTCAGGACCCACAGTTTAAGAAACAGTGCTCCATATTATGCCAGGTAAACATTTAATAGATTAAATTTTTAATATTTGAATAGACTCTCTAAACATCCGTTGGCAGAAGCCAGTGTTTGATAACATTTGGCACAGGTACTTTACGAAGCCACCAATGGTGTAATGGGTTAAACTACTGAGCTGCTGAACTTGGTGACTGAAAGGTCAGCGGTTTGAATCCGGGGAGCGGGGTGAGCTCCCGCTGTCAGCCCCAGCTTCTGCCAACCTAGCAGTTTGAAAACATGCAAATGTGAGTAGATCAATAGGTATTGCCCTGACGGGAGGATAACAGTGCGCCATGCAGTCATGCTGGCCACATGACCTTGGAGGTGTCTATGGACAACACCAGCTCTTTGGCTTAGAAATTGAGATGAGCACCATTCCCCAGAATCAGACATGACTAGACTTAATGTCAAGGAGAAACCTTTACGTTTACCTTTACTTTACATCAGGCTGCACCAAACGTCATGAAACTAAAAACAATCTCTGTCTTACAGCAGAAATAATATTACTTAACACGAGGAAATTTCACACAGTCTATGCTGGCAAAAACAGGTTGACAAGAGAAAAATTAACTAAAGATAAAGGCATCTAACAATCATTTTCATTTTGAAATTAAGCCAGCCTGAGAACTGGCTGCAGTTTCAAGGATCATGTCCCTGACCTACTTTTCCACACTGCAAAGTACACCACAGAACTAGTGGATTCATCACAGTGGCTCCAGTATCCCCTGGATATGCAGACAGTGGAAAGATATAGCACAGGCATGGGCAAACTTTCTAACTTGCGAGCGCATGCTAGCACTCCCTGCTAAGAGGACTGACTGCCCGGTGATGGAAGAAAGAAAGGAAGAAAGGAAGGAAGGGAGGGAGGGAGGAGGGAGGGAGGGAGGGAGGGAAGGAGGGAGAAGGGAAAGATAAAAGAGAAGGAAGGAGAATGAGAGAGAAGGAAGGTGGGAGGAAAGAGGGAAAGGAAGGAAGGAGGAAAGAGAGGAAGGAAAGAGAATGAGGAGAAGGAGGAAGGAGAGGGAGGAGGAAGAGGAGGAAGGAAGGGAGGAAGGAAGAAGAGGAAGGAAGAGGGGAAGGAAGGAAGGAAAGGAAGGAAGGGAAGGAGGAAGGAAAGAGAGAAAAGGAAAGACAAGAAGGGAAGGGAATGGAGAGAGGAAGAAGGGAGGGGGGAGGAAAGAAGGAAGGAAAGACAAAGGGAAGAGGAAAGGGAGAGGAAGGAACAAAAGGGTGGACGGGAAGGAGGGAGTAAGGAAGGAAGGGAGGTAAGGTAGAAGAAAGGAAAGAAGGAAGGTTTGAAGGGAAGGATGGAAGGAAGGGAAGGGGGAAGGAAAGCAGGAAGGAAGGATGAAAGGCTGGAAGGGAATGGAGGGAGGAAGGTAGAAGGTGGGAGGGAAGGGATGGAGGTAGGAAAAAGAAGGCAAAAGTGAAGGAAGAAAGAAAGAGGGAAAGAAGGACGAAAGGGTGGAAGGGAAGGAGGGAGGGAGAGAGAGGGACGCAAAGGAGGGAGGGAAGGCGGAAGGAAAGAGAGAAGGAAGGAAAGGATGGTGAGAGAGAGGAGGACCTGAGAAAAGAGCCCAAGAGGCCGCATCTGGCCCTGGGCCTGAGTTTGCCCATACCTGATATAGCATGTGCTAGAGATGAAAAAATCCTGTGTCTTATCCCTCTTGTGGCACCTTTGGTGGCTCCTTCCTTCTATAAGACCAATTCTTCCGATGCATAATTGAATAATTAGATCTGTAAACATTGGGGGGTAGGGGGAGAGGTTTTCCCTTGTTCCTTTAAGCTACCGTTTTAAATTTTCCTGATTTCACTCTAAGAGGCTTCTCCAACAGTCCTGATTTCATGTTTGCTCTTTATTTTAAAACTATTCCTGCCTGCAGGACATTTCATTGAAGACGAAAGAGATCTTGACAAACCTGGCCTCCTTCACAGAGGTCCTACATGATGGAGAAAAGCCATCCCTTAACTTTGAAGCACTGAAACAGAAGCGGTTCCCACCAGCGACCGAAAATTTCCTCTATCATTTGGCAGCAGCTGAACAAATGCTTAAGATCTGATGTCATGGACGAGCCTCAGTATAGCACTGAGAAAGAAAACTTCTCTGTGGCCTAATACTTTATCCTTTAGTTGTATAAAGCATTCAGCAGAGAAAATGGCATTTTTATATTCATGCGGAGGGATTGAGTGATGCGGAAGCCCTGGGCGCGTAGTGGGATGTACTTCCATTTTTCTAGTTCTGACACAGTAATTTTCTACAAGATGGGACAGGTTTTTAAAGACAAAAGATGGTCAAGATCTACTGTTCTTCCTAGAAAAATATGTGAGGGCATGTTTGTTTTGAGCTACAAGTGTCTTCTGCGCATTTAAGTGAAGTTATATCTGAATATATATATATAAACAGAATGTTTCATAAGTGACAAAACTATGATAGCCATTTAAGTTGAAAGATAAAGGTTATTTGTGTTGTCCAGCTGTTTATAAACCCCGTCCTCCTGAAGTCAAGGTACTGAAGCGTTTGAGCATTCAACAAATAGGTGAGAGGAGGCTTGAAAGGTCAGTCATTTGCCACACCGTTCAAATACTATGTGTTTGCTGGCCATGACTAAAGTAGTCATGCCTTTAGTACTAATGAGAGCAACTTACTTTGAAAAGTATTTTTTAGTAAACCAGCCTAGAATATCCAGATGCAAGTAAGAATCCTGTTTAGATATAGGAGTGTGTGCTGGACATCTTCTCACTGATGTTTGTATATTGGGCTCAGTGGGCATGATCACATTCCTCCACTTCATGCATTTGTGGGACAAGGTTAGCTGTTGTCATAGCTCTTTATCAATTGTCAAGCAAAACCTGAATGCTATACTACAGCTATGTGTATTCAGATCCATAAGAAGAGGGGGTTCCAATCTTTTCTGTTGTTTTTCTGCAGCCACACATGCCGTGAGTGCAAAACCTAGAACCTTAAAGGTTGAATATCCAGAATCTGCAAACATTCCAAAAGACTATGTGGAAACTCACTAGTCAAGCCGGCTTTCCATTGAAACTGCCATTGATATTTGAATACATACTTGTGTTTATTGTATAGTTGTTTATCATGTAGAGATTTCTAAACTTTGCCCCTTGTAGTGTTTTGCACCTCAACTCCTAGAAACTTAGCTGACTATCCAACAATCAGGAATTCTGGGAAGTGGCATCTAAAATATTTGGAGGCCCAGTGTTTGGAAACTACTGGTTTAGACCTTTCACCCCAAACTATGCAAGTGGATTGCAGATGTCTGAGCTGAAGAACCACTTCTGCTGTGGTGGTTTGCTATATAAGAGACATCTGTTTATGATTTTGCCTTCATGCATAAACGCCTTAGCATGTGTCTGAGTTCATAAGCTCAATCAAGTTATCCTCAATAAGAGAAGGCCATTAATGAATGTGGCTTATTAAGTCCGTACTTTTCTTGAACCCTATGGTATCTGTGTTGTCGAAGGCTTTCATGGCTGGAATCACTGGGTTGTTGTGTGTTTTTCAGGCTGTATGGCCATGCTCCAGAAGCATTCTCTCCTGACCTTTCTACCACATCTATGGCAGGCCCCACAGAGGTTGAGAGGTCTGTTGGAAACTAGGCAAGTGGGGGTTATATATGTGGAATGTCCAAAGTGGGAGAAAGAACTCTTGTCTTTTTGAGGCAGGTGTGAATGTAGCAATTGACAATTTCATTAAAAAAAACCATGAAAATGAACAAAATCTGGCTACCAGTATTTAAAAAACCTGTAAAATCATAACAGTAAATAAAGAACACTCAAAACAGGGGAATTCAAGACAAGAAACAATCAGGGCCAGCTAATCACCTCCCAACAAAGGATTCCCCCAGGCAGGAAGCAGACAGACCTTGAAAACTGCTAGGCCATTAAATGCTAATCAAGGTGGCCAATTGCCACATTCACACTTGCCTCAAACAAACAAGAGTTCTTTCTCCCACACTGTACATTCTACTTATATATAAATCCCATTTTCATAGTTTCCAACAGACCTCATAACCTCTGAGAATCTCTGCCATAGATGCAGACGAAATGTCAGGAGAGAATGCTTCTGGAACATGGCCATACAACCCTATGGCATCTGTTTTTTTCTAGTAGGAACTAGCAATTGGGGTAATCCCTAAAATCTTATTTTTTAAAAACAGTATATCTTATTCCTACTTCTAACACATTTTGAAATAGCATTATTTCATAGTCATCCTTATGTTCAGCATTGAGAATCATTTGGCTTTCATTCAGAGTATAAAGGAGCCTAAGTTGTATGTTATAATATGGAAGAAATGAGCAAGTATTGTACAGATCTAAAATAGTTCTAGCAAGTTTGTGAGTATAACTACTTCCCCCCTATTTTTCAGGGGTCTGTCATTTTTTTTGTACAGAAGTGTATGTTGATCTAAAAATGTGTACATCTAAAAGCTGACTTACTATACTTTCCTTACTCAGTTTTGGTATGATATTTTTTCCGTCGGGATTTTTGTGTTACTGTGCATTTGTTCCTCTTGCAACCACCATACACATTTAATACAGACTGGTATTAAAAGCCTCACTTGATAGCTACTGGCAACAAAAAACTGGCTGCTGGGGATGGAGTAGGTTGGATTGTTTTGCATATTACCAAAGCCTTTTCGTTCTAAACATGGAGCATTTGTAGACTGGAAAAGTACCTGCACTGCCGGGGAAACTCTACCTATATACATAATAATACACATAATTAAATAATATACATACTAATAAAGGTGAAAATACGTATGTGTGTGTGTGGCTGGGGTGCCCACTTCCACAAATAGCTTTAACCCACAGTACTGAGGAGCCACCAAAAGCCCTCCCTCCAATGACATTTCGGGTAATAGCTAATTCCATGAACAATAAATTGTGGCAAGTTCTTGGTGGTATGGGGATGCCAAGCTACCTTGTCTGTCTCCTGAGGAATCTGTATAACTACCAAGTAGCAACAGTAAAAACGGCCCACAGAACAACAGACTGAATGATATTCCACAGCATTACACCATGGATGACAGCTGAAGAGTATTGAATTTCATGTTTTCTTCATTCTGATTCACAGAACCAGTCCCTATAGAAGACCTAAAGAGTTGTTTTGTAAGATTGATTTCTTATCACACACACAGCTAAAATGTGTGAGGTTTGTTAAATGTGTATAAGCAGAATAAGTAGAAGCTTTACCATAGTATTTAAACCAAGGTATATCCTGCTGTACAATAAAATGTCACTCAGGCTTGTGAAACAAATAACAGTATATTGTCAAAGGCTTTCATGGCCAGAATCACTGGGTTGTTGTAGGTTTTTCTGGGCTATATGGCCATGTTCTAGAGGCATTTTCTCCTGACGTTTCGCCTGCATCTATGGCAAGCATCCTCAGAGGTAGTGAGGTGATGCTTGCCATAGATGCAGGCGAAACGTCAGGAGAAAATGCCTCTAGAACATGGCCATATAGCCCGGAAAAACCTACAACAACCCAAATAACAGTATCTTTACTTTGGTTCAAAGGTTCAAACAGGGTAACAATATATTCCTCAATCTCTTTGAATACAGGCAGGGAACAGAGGAATAAAATACCCTTTAAATAGTCTTTAAAATAACCCTCATGCCTTAAAATGATAAGTCTTTAAGCTAGTTGGCAGCTAGCAATCTCTTTACTGTCCAAAGTGAGAACAAAAGGCAGAATGACAGTTAGAACCGTTGGCCTCAGCAGTTAGCCAGAAGAAGCAGCCAGTCAGAACACTGGCCCCCAATTGTCTGCTGACACATCTCTCCAGTTAACCCACCATATCATGGTGTCCTTTTTCAAATCCTAACAACATGCATCCCTTGGTAGCCTTCATATCCAGCTTGGTTCATTTGGCCTATATGACTACCTGGATTTACACAACATTGAGGGATAAAATATATATTTGGGAAGGAGAGGGCTCTACTCCTGATGATCTGTTCCACCCTTAAAAAAAAGATGTTGAAGGAAACGTGGTTTTGAAACAATGCTCTGCAGTACAGCTTTCAAACAACACATTGGTACAAGTGTCTGTGTAGGGATACTGGGTATTTAGTCAGCAATTCGGAAAAGTGTTTGTCATTAGAAAGCATGGATTGCGATTTCTGTATCCCAGATTGTCTCTCTGCACAGTTTGACAGATGCTCTTTTGGCTTCTTTTTTCTACCAAGGGAGTACAGTGGCTTGGTTTCATCTTCTCTGAAGCAGCAATATGGGGGCTGTGTAGAAAAGAAACAATGGGGTTTGTAGGAACCATGCCAGTGCTGTTAGCCACAAAACAACATTTCAGCCCCTCCACTGTAGAAGTTTTGTATAAATTGTCGAACCTTTTCAAAGCTGAACTATTAAATCCTCTACACCAGTGTTTCCCAACCTTTGGGCCTCGAGGTGTTTTGGATTACAACTCCCAGAAATCCCAAGCTGTTAGAAACTGAGGGAGCTGAAGTCCAAAACAACTAGAAGCCCAAAGGTTGGGAACCACTGCTCTACACCAATTGCAGCATCGTCGGTTTCTTTAAACATTATCACAGAGTGTCCCCTTCTGAAGTTATTCCATTCAGTCATTAAAAGCACCTAATTCCTAATCCATCTAAAATGCAGATGTGTTTTGGACTTCATCTGTCAAGTTGGAAATTTAGGTACCGCTTATGCGGGGAGTCTAATTTAACTAATTTACGACACAATAAAACTCTCTAGCAGCGTGCAAAAGAATGAGGAAGTACTCCATCTGTGTCACAATTGGATGGTGAAGTGACAGCTCCCCCAGTGGCCAGGATTCAAAAAGCATACCCTCATGAAGTTGGAAAGTTTCATAGCCTCTGTGTCTCTGTCTATATATGTTGTGTGTCCATGGCATTGGATGTTTTCCATGTATATGTGCATTGTGAGCTTCCCTGAATCCCCTGTGGGGTGAGAAGGGTGGAATATAAATACTGTAAATAAATAAATAAATAAATAAATGAGGCATGCTGCATTATCACAGGATGTCTACGTCCCACACCACTTGAAAAATTTTACTCTCTAGCTGGTATTGCACCACCTGACATCCGTCTGGAAGTAGCAGACTGCAATAAAAGGACCATGGCATTGACATACCCTCTGTTTGGATATCAGCCAGCAAACAATGCCTTCAATCAAGAAACAGCTTCCTAAGATCTACAGAGATACTCGCAAGAACACCTCAGCAAGCAAGAGTCCAAAAGTGGCAAGCTAAAACCTCGAACCTCAATCCATAGCTGATACTAGATGAGAGACTCCCTCCTGGGCACACAAAAGACTAGGCGACCTGGAAGGCGCTGATCAAGCTGCACTCTGACAGCATGAGATGCAGAGCTAATCTTAAGAAATAGTGCTACAAAGTAGAGTCCACGACATACGAGTGTGGAAAAGAGCAAACCACAGACTTACTACAACACAGCCACATGCACAATGGAGGACCTTCTTACAGCGGCACCAGAGGCACTCCAAGTACCCAGCTTCTGGTCAAAGGACATTTAGCATAATTCCAAGTTTTAAAATTTGTTTGTGTTTTAAAATACATTATAATTGTACCCTCAACTCGTTTCTAACACAATAAATAAAAATAAAAGCACCAGTAGGGAAAGTGGGGCGGTAGACTTTAATTCTTTCTCCTTACAGGCTTTTAATTGTCAGAAATAGAAGGCTCATAAAATGAAATCTTGTTTATTTTGAGAGGCAGCAGTGATAGAACAAAAATTCAACATGATTTAGCTGTAATTTACATGCGCTTTTGCATCCAGATACAATCAAAAAGAAGGATGATTCATTTAGATGCTGACTATTGCCCATAATAAGTTATCAAATCCCCAAATCATTACACTCCCCTGTTGTAAAAGAATTCTGTTTCTTCAGTGGCAGAGATTATTTCTGGCTCAAGTTCGTTTCTTTGTATCTGGAGAAAAAAAAACACAGAAAAAACATCCTTACAAATTATTCCTGACTTCTTTGTGTCAATTGAGTTTAATTTAGTATGAAATGTTTGCAAATATATCTTCTATAAAGGTATGATCACCACCATCATACCAAAAGAACCAACTAATATATTTTAACAGCAGCAAAGGAGGGAAGACCACACAAAAACCACTACCATATCCTTCAAATACAATATGACCCCATAATAGATCTCAATGGGGTCCAAAATAAAAAGGGTGCATAATCCTAAGAAGGAAATTACAAACTTATCAAGACATTTTTTGTAACTGACACGTCTTTAAAAAAGAAAATGGTGTGTGTGATCTGAGACCAGTACCCAGTTTTGTTTACCAGTGTTTAACAAAAAGTGTAACCTCAGATATGTTCTTGATCCTCCAGGCAGTTCTACAGCATGTTTCTAGCAGAAACTGACCACAGAGTCATTCGGCAGGACCCAGCAATTTCACAGGTCCTCTAGCCTAGAGCTTCTTAAACATTTCCATTTGTGATCCTTTTCAGTCCAGGACAGTAAATAAAGAATGACACACACAAAAAACAGGGGAATTCCAGACAGGGAACAATCAGGGTCAGTTAAAACCTCCCAACAAAGGATTCTCCCAGGCAGGAAGCAACCAAGCTTTGAAGCTGTGAGGCTATTCAATGCTAATCAAGGTGGCCAATTGCAACATTCACACTTGCCTCCAACAAACAAGAGTTCTTTCTCCCACCCTGGGCATTCCACAGAAATATAAACCCCACTTGCCTAGTTTCCAACAGACCTCACAACCTCTGAGGAGGCCTGCCATAGATGTGGGTGACATGTCAGGAGAGAATTCTGAAACATGGCCATACAGTCGAGAAAACTCACAGCAACCCAGTTCAAGAAATATTTATATGACCCCAGGTATATAGATATATGGAATAGACATAAAAATCAAACATTTACAAATCAGTATTTGCAATGCTTGGCAAACAGGCCGATTTGTTTTCTTTTTTTTAATGAAATACAACTGATGCATATTCTGTAGAGTCCACTGTAAATGCTACAACCAATGCATGTAAATGTCTAAAACAGCCACATTCAGAAAACTTTTACTTTTGCCAGATATTTCAGGACTGCAACACTGAGCTCAGACGATTTGCAATTACTCGCAGGATTTGCAATTACTTGCAGTTTTGTGTATCCATGTAGAGCCCTTGGACAAAGGTCATTCACTTCCTCTGCTCTAACAGTGCAGATGTCAATTGTCCTATATTGTGTAAGTTTATAAATGAATGCTCAAAGAACCACAACTGTAAGTAAGCAACTTATTATTTTGAGTCGTCTTCCCTTATATTTGAATTGTGTCATGTATTGTTTCTGCCTTTGCCAAATCTCAACCAGGTGGTGACGTTTGGAAATCATGATTCCTCTCACATGATCCCTACACAACCAAGTGTTCTTCTATTTCCATTTCATCCAAAAGTCTCATTGTAATTAGTTATTTCCAGAAACAACTATTTGAGACTAAGAGCTGCTACTACAGAAATCCCAAGTACGCACGTGCATTTTCTGCATTTAAAAAATCAGCTCAGGTAGATTTGAATCTTTCTGTGTTGTTTCAAAATTTTTGAATTGTCGTTTATCCTTTAAAAAAGTAAGCGAAGATTAAGACGACATCAGAACGATGAGAATTACCTTGCCCACTTGTGGCACCAAACTAAATGAAACAGGTACCATTGCTCCCAGGACTGAAACCATCATAATAGATCTCAATGGTGTCCAAACAAATGGATTCCGAAGTGCAGTGCTTGTGCTGAAAAGAATATAAGGGAAGATTATTGCACAGCAGGGAAAAGATTGCACCAGCATGCAAGGAAAACACTTACCAATTATAATAATAGAGTAAAATAATGGAAATGTAATAATAAGGAGGGCGACTAAAATGATCAAGGGTCTGGAGAACAAGCCCTATGAGGAGCGGCTTAGGGAACTGGGCATGTTTAGCCTGAAGAAGAGAAGGCTGAGAGGAGATATGATAGCCATGTATAAATATGTGAGAGGAAGCCACAGGGAGGAGGGAGCAAGCTTGTTTTCTGCTTCCCTGGAGACTAGGACGCGGAACAATGGCTTCAAACTACAAGAGAGGAGATTCCATCTGAACATGAGGAAGAACTTCCTGACTGTGAGAACCGTTCAGCAGTGGAACTCTCTGCCCCGGAGTGTGGTGGAGGCTCCTTCTTTGGAAGCTTTTAAGCAGAGGCTGGATGGCCAAAAACGACCTGGATCCAGGATCTAATCCTGGAGGAGCGGGCAGATCTGGCGTGCATCACGGAGACCTGGTTGGATGAAGCGGGGGGCGTAAACCTCTCCCAGCTTTGCCCTCCGGCTTCTCCGTGCAGCACCAACCGAGATCCGGAGGACGGGGAGGCGGGGTCGCAGTGGTCTATAGAGATTCCATCCATCTGACCAGGAGTCCCATCCCGCAGACCACAAATTTTGAATGCGTCCACCTGAGGGTGGGTGACCGGGACAGAATAGGGATTCTGTTAGTGTACCGTCCACCTCGCTGCACTACAGTCTCCCTACCTGAGCTAGCGGGGGTGGTCTCGAGCCTGGCGTTGGAGTCCCAACGGCTTCTTGTGCTGGGGGACTTCAACATCCATGCCGAGGCGACCCTCACAGGAGCGGCTCAGGACTTCATGTCCGCCATGGCAACCATGGGGCTGTCCCAAAATATCTGGCCCCACCCACTGTGCTGGACATACATTGGACTTGGTTTTCTGCCAGGGATGGGAGCAGGGTGGCGGTGTGGAGGAGTTGTCCATCTCTCCGTTGCCATGGACTGACCACTTCCTGATCAGATTTAGGCTCACTGCGCCCCCCAACCTCTGCAAAGGTGGAGGACCCATTAAGATGGTCCGCCCCAGGA